TCGAAGTGAAGAGAATCCTTTACAACAGGCGCCCTCGTCTGACTGGCGGACTGGCCGGCCGCTCGTCATTCCAGGGAGGCGCCCGCACTGGAAAGGAAGACTTGCATGGACACATGAGGAGGGAAGTTGGGATGGGACTGTGCATTGGACAATCGGTTCACGCGTCTTGGACAAATTTGGTTTTCCTCCCCCTCCTTTTCCTCCTCCTCCTCCCTCCTCCTTCGCTTCCTCCTGCCCGTTCTCCTCCTCCTTCTCCTCCTCCTCGTTTTCGTCCTCCTACTCCTCCTCCACCTCCTCTCCCTCCTCCTCCACCTCCGCCTCCTTCTCCTCCTCCTCCTCCTCCCCCGCCTCGTCTCCTCCTCCTCGTCTTCGTCCCCTTTCCCCCGCCTCCTCCTCCTCTTCCTCCTCCTCCTTTTCGCCCTCCTCCTCCCCCTCCTCCTCCTCCTCCTCTTCCTCCTCCCTTTCCTACTCCTCCTCCTCCTCCTCCTCCTCCTCCTCGCCTCCACCGCCTCCTCCGCCTCCTCCTCCTCCTCCTCCTCCTCCTCCTCCTCCTCTTCTTCCGTTTTTACGCTAGACCGACCTGAGCGTGAACGCTATGGCGTTTGTGCACTGCGTTTTCAAAGGGACACAACCATGCAGGTGGACGACTCGGCGCAAGAAGTCCTGGCAGGCGCCGCAGAACATGAACTAGGTAAAGAAGCGGTTGAGACGAGTAAAAAGAGCAGGCGGCCGCCAGGTTCGCGAGGTCGGCACTGACCTTCGTGATAAGTACCCCCAGTAAGTAAGATCCCCAACCAATGATGCACCCACACTTTCTCATGGTAGTACCGCCTCGGATGGCAAGGTTGAAGATAGGATGCAGGACGTGCCGCAGTGTAACCGAAAGCCCCGTAGTGGCAGGCGACATGTATGCGATCTTCCCTCGCCCTCCCCGTAGGATCCTCCCCAGATCCGCACCACCGACGCCGTAGTTATAGGGCACCAAGGATGTGGAGGCAGGGAAGTTTAAAGCGCGGTGCATGGAGACTCGTGCAAAAAAAACAGCTTGTAACAATATGACATGACACAGAGGAAGTGCAAGCTGCTTCTGCGCTCACATAACGCAGGGTGGCCTGTGCAAGAGGAGACAAGTGGTGAAGTCATGTTCAAAGGTGGTGGATGTAGACTGCCAAAAGGTATGCACGCACAGATGCGGAGGGGGAGTGCGCAACGATCCTCTACTGCATCATCCTGCGATGCAAAGGCTGGCCTACGCAAGCTGGCCCGTAAAGAATCAAATGGGCTTGTGCTACTGGCCGTGATGGTAGTTCCGCCCGAAACTAGAATGCACCATGCTCGCGCTGAGGCTGGCCCTCGCAGGCTGGCCTGGCGCTGAGAGTGATACTTTAGGCGATCAGCGGGCGAGGCACATTCAAGTAGGAGCCGCGTGCTAGACGCAGCTTGCAACAAAATAACATGTCAGCCGAAGAACATGCAAGCTGCTTCTGCCGAGTGTCTTCTCTGCAACTAGTCCGCTTATGTGGGCAGATTGCTCGCACAAGCGCCCAGGACAGAGAGAACACTATGTTGTGCAAGCTGAATGGCCTGGACATGGTTAAAAGAAGCGCGATGAGCCTTGTGAGGCAGTAAGGCTGAAGCGGTCAAAATGACAAGCCCCTCTTGCCAGCAGTAGGCCCGCTCTTTTTGCCAGCAGTAGGCCCGCTCTTCGGCTCCTAGGTGGAGGGGTAACCGTCGCCGTAGTTCATGTCAGAAGTAGGGGTACGCAATGTGCCGCAATGAATGGCACCATCTGTAGTGGAGGGGGTACGCCACTAGGTACGAGGCCGAAGTGGCCAAAGGGAGGTTTGCGCAGCAGCAGTGGTGAGAGCGATAGGGGGGAACTCGCTGTGCGAGAGATCTGTGCTTGGCTGGCCTGTAGAAGAGGCTGGCCGGGTACTCGCATGAGGGTATTGTTGTTAGCACCTGTGCGCAATAGATCTTGAAGAGAGCGGAGGGAGCGCCGTGGGAGCCCCTCAAAGTCGGCCTCTAGTGTACTACCGTAAGATGTGGGGAATCAGGCAGACAACGAGTCAACGAAGAGGCCAATGCGGTAGCACACTTGGCCTACAACTATCTTGACTGTGGATGCGCGCGCAGTGGTGTTGTCATGGGTTTTTGTTGGATGACCCCAAACCTTCCCAAAAGACATGTGCGATCCAAGGGCTGCGACCCAAGATTTTGTAGGGTAGCCCCAAACCTGCAAGTGAGAGGGTGCCACTATCGTGCCGGACGAGCCGCGAAGGAGAAATGGAAGGCGCACAGCTGAACAGTGATGTAGGAAGAGTGTCGGGATGCGGCGGTGAGAAGACTGGGGCTTCAAATGAAATGAATGTACAATCTAGGGCCACGACCCAGGGTTTTGTAGGGTAACCTCGAACCTGAAAATGAGAGAGCCACCAGCGTGTCGGAAGAGCCACGAGGGGGAAAGGAAGACAGGCGTATTGCAAGTCAGCAGTATGTCATAATAGTCTGACTGCAAGTGAGCGCGCTTGTATCTACGAAGTCAGGTGAGGTCCATATGGGGTAATTGGACGGAAGGAGGCACTGGTCGTGAATGCTGCGGTATGTTGTAATCTACTGCCCAGTCCTGGTTGTGGTGATGGGTCGCCTTATCGTTTACGTAGATTGGCCCGTGTTTGTGGTCGTCGGTTTGGGCTTGGGAGTATCTCTGTGTAGAGTTACTATACGCTTGGGCGGCGGCTCCTTGAATGGCGCTCCAGGCGCATGTTCGTGTCGGCTGTTGAGGTAGTGCTGGTAGCGGGCCCGATACGTACGAAGCCTGGCGATGTAGTCCTGAAGCGTAGGATCTCCAACCTTGTTGAGAAAGGTAATGCGTCGGTTGAAGATGTGGATCTGGTGTTCTCCTCGTCGCGCTGCCTCGTGGTGCTCGGCGATTGCGCGTGCTTCGACTGTCGGGAGGTAGGTGCGACGCGTCGCCAGCGTTTGTGGAGCCAGCTGTCGCCAAGGAATATATCGTATCCATTGCTGGGCGTTGATGTCCTCGCCTGGTGGGTAAATGATCGGTATTTTTAGTGTGGGTGCTGGTGGGTGTGCCAGTATGAATGTGGGATGGTGCCCATTTGATCATAGTGGTGGATGTGGGCAAGGTCGTCTTTGGTAATGCCGTTGCGCTGTTGTTGTTGGGCGTGGTCGGTGGCTGTTGTGCTGTCTGATTAGCTTGGTCAATCAGGTGAGATGGTGGTGATTTGTAGGGTCTCTGGTGAGTCGTAGTCGTGATGGTCGCGGTTGTTTTACCAGGTTGAATATTCGGCATAAGTTTGCCTGGGATCGTGCTATGTTGCAGTCGTGTGTGGAAGTGTATGGTAATCTGCTTAGTGATTACTGTTGGAGTCGGTCCACTTGGTGTGTTGTGCGGTTGCGCAGGTTGGGACTCTGCTGTCTTGCTGTGTACTGCGTCGATTCGTTTGGTCGGACTCGCTGGGCTGTCGGGTACGTCCCATGATGGTGGTAGTGTGGGTGCGAATGGTTTGGGTCTGCTGGCTTGTGATGCTGGTGGTGGTGGTGGTGGTTTGCTTGGTAGTGCATGCGTCTGTTGTTGGGTGTCGGTGTTGGTCTCCCTGTCAATGGAGCTGTCGCTGTCGTCATGCTTGATGGTATTGTAGCGCATTGTGTCAATCGGGTTGCGAATGCGCTGTAATATGTTGGCTGTGTCGCGAAGGCGCACTGCCCAGTCGTACTTCATGATGTCGTGCTCGTCGTGGCATGTGTTGAGCCTTTGGGCAATGTTTTGTGTGGCGGCGACCTTGACGTTGTTGAGCGGTGCTTGTCCTCATGCGATCAGCGCGACGGTGTGATTGTAGGTCGTGACGACTTGTACTCGTAGTGCTATGCTGTCACAGTAGTCTGCTGCTGCAAATGCTGGAATATCATTGCCGTAGCTTGTGAAGGTCGGGTGCTTGGGCGGCTTGTGCATTGGCTGATGTGCGTCTGCTTGGGTGGCATAGTTTAGCGTGGGCCTTTTTGTGATTGGTCTGAACGGTTGCGTGCACGTCGATAGTGGAGTGGCATTGGAGTCAGGTCGGAGAGGTGGGTGCGGTAAGCATTTCTTGTCGTCTTGGTGGACAAACATCTCGTTGTTGCACTTGTTGACGAAACTGTGTTCGCCAGGTAGCAGTAGGTCGTCGTTTGGGAATGTGTAGGTGTATGTGTTGGTTGTTTCGTCGTAATATACTGCATGCTGCCAAAAGTACTCTTCTTGACCTTCCGTGTCTGTGTCGTTGGCGTAGTGGCAGTATGCTGCCCAGCCGCGTGGAAGGTGCATGTCGTGGTACTTGTTTGGTTTGAGCGGTGATAGACATACTTCGTTGAAGTCGGAAGCTCTGCTCATTTTGCCAATGAGTCGTGCCTGTCGCAGTTGTCTTCTGATTCGGCAGTGTCGTAGCATAGATTGGAGTAGTTTTGCCAGTGGTCTTGTTCTTCGTCTTGGTTGGTCTGAGTCGGTGGTGTCGCGGCATCTTTTCTGGCTCTGGTGGGATGTAGTCGCGGCTTGTGTCGAACCTTCTTTTGTCATGCTTGGATTTCTTGTTCTTGAAGGTGAGGTGTGGGATGGTCTGCTCTGGTGGCAACATTTTCATGTGGCCGTTGCACTTGTGAAACTCTTTTTCCAGGTAGTCGTACTGGCGTTTTTCGATGTCGTATCGTTTTGCGAGCTGTTGCTGTACTAATTCGTAGTGCTCGTCGTCAGGGGGTAGGTCAATACGAAATCGGATCCCGTCTCTTATCTGGATGTACTTGGGATGCTTGTGGGTGAATTGAGGTCCTGGAGGGTGTGGTAGCACCATGGAGTTTTCGGCCACGGTGTGTGTCGGGTTGCTGCAGTCATGTATAATAATGTGCTTGTCCTCCTCCTCCTCCTCCTCCTCCTCCGCCTCCTCCGCCTCAGCCTCAGCCTCCCTCCAGCAGTCAAGGCCCCTGCGACCGGGCTTCTCCCACGCGGGGTCCGGCAGGGAGGCGTACGCGGCCTTCTGCCGGGCGCGGCCCTCCAGCGCAGCCGCGCTGCTCGGC